GGACTTGGGCGCCCGACTGGAAGACGACCGTTGTTCGGGGCGCCCTGGAGCCCCTTCTGAACAGGTCGGGTTCGGCTTCTGGATCCCGTTTTTTGCAATTGTACGATGTTCTCTTCAACCCATTCATTGATTGGTGCATTTGGCTGAGCCCCTCTATCTGCAGGAATCCTTGGTTTTGGAGCCCCACAACTATAAATGGTCCCTTAAACCCATTATGGGAACCAAGTGGACAGACTGCTACGATATGCCCAGTTCTAGGTCGCCGCTTGGTGCAACCCCCGCTCCACCAGCTGCCCTCCGGCGCCGCTGTCAGTCCAAAGCCAAGTCCATGTTTTCATCATCTCCTTATCTGCTTTTATCCCCAGCAGTTAAAGCTTCTAAAACCTCATCTCACTGCGATTCTCGTTTCACGCTTCTCAGATTCCAGCGTCGAGCCATGCAGCAGCTCGTCATCAGCACCTGGACGTCCATTCCGCGGGCGTCGCTGCAGCAGACTTTCGGATTCGGCGTCGTCGAACGGAAGCGGATCTCCGGAGGCTTTGGGCCTCTCAAGCCATGCGGCGAACATTGGAAGTGGATCTAGAAACCACGTGTATGTGGGCTGTATGGGCTGAAGTGGAGAGACTCGACCGACCCGGAAAACCACGCCCAGCGTTCGGATCGGGAAGTAAACCAGAGTACCCAGCCAGGCTTCACTTCTTTCACCCAGCCTTTGACACAGCAAGAGGTGGCATGGCCCAGGTTCTTACAGAAAACACTGCACAATTCTATCAGAATCATCCGTTAATAAGTATGCAGACTGTTGAACCGCATTCATGTCAAAGCCACAAACGAAAACCCACACGAAGACCGAAGGCGATGTAGGGAAAGTAAACGATGCACCGAACTCTTATCCACCTCACCCCTTCATGTCTTTCAACAACCCCAATATACAGTATATTGAATTCGCTGTTAGAATGCTTGGACGCGGAATTGGACTCGGAATTGGATTCATCCGCTGGTCCTACCATCGGTTTTTTCCTCACTTTCCTCCAAAGAGGTCGATGTGACCAGGCCCTTCAGCCCCTCCGCCAAGGCCCACTCCGCGCCTGACGTCCAGGCCATGACCCGCCTTTCAGACGTCTACTCCATCACCATGGGACGCGTGTTCCAGCGGGTGACGCGGAACGCGGACACGAAGGCAGCGGCGGTGTCGTGTGGGTTCTGGACGCCACGAAAAGCCCAGACTTCCTGGATTTCATGGGGTCGTCCCCAAGCACCAGCTGTTTTACGATTTGACACCTGTATAGGTCAACCAAGTCTTCCGGCAGAAGGGACCCCAAGGTGTGGGACGGTCCCGGAGGAATGTGAAAAAAAACGGCCCGAGATGGATGGATGGGGTCAGATTCATGGTCCATCAGTCCCAACCTGTCGTCGATGAGGATGGGGCCGGCCTGGCGGCCGACAGGAGTTCCAAAATAGTGATCCCCCGACTGAAGTCCAGTTCGCATAGTTCAATCGACTGAAGTAAATTCCTTGACTCGGGTCACCTACTTAAGGACCATTCTTTTTATAGTCTTTGACTCTCAGGGGATCATTGTTGATACTGACTGTTACTGGTCATGGTTGGCCCGATGTGCTGTTTACTGACTACGCCATGGCCCCATGTTTGCGTTGAACTCACGGTGCTCCCCCGCGTCTGCGCGGCCAAACTGCGAGACGGTGGGCATGTGGAAGCGAACAGGTCTCCCCAAAACCCTTGCTACCCGCGACCCTGGGCCCGAACCTATGGAGGGGTCGGAACCTCATATGGAGGGGTCTGGGGTCTCAATTCTCTAGGTGCCGAGGGACCAAGGGCTGTGAACGGAGCGTCTGGGTAATAGGATCTTCCCCCTCAACCGCGGATCGCCCCGCCCCAACCAAGCACGGGAGTTCACAAAACTCCCCACCCTCGCTTCGTCTCCCCTCTTCGGACTGCCCGAAAAGCAACCTGGTGGGTCGTGGGTCGAACACGTCACGCCGGACCCAGCGCCGCACCGTCTCCGGTCTCCGCATCGACGTCGACCGCGGCGGTCCACGGTCGCCCGCGAACCGCACGCGCCGGTGGTCGATGGTCGGCCAGTGACAGTTAACAAGCTAGATAGAACCTAAACACTGATCTCTATTTTGGAGACCACTGAGACCACCCCAAACATATCGTCAAACTTCCATTTCCAGAGGTCAAACGTCCCGGGCTCCAGGAAGTATACTGAGCCAGAATGCTCCCAGCGCACGGCCGGACCTTCCTTTTCTCCGGTCGCGTGAACCGCGTGAACCGCGTGGTTCGCGCCTCGGCGGTCGGGCGTGACCGGAACAACTGACGTCGACGGAAGACACATGGAAAAGAACCCGATGTAGACCGGGCTGTTGCCCACTCTGAACGTGTCTTTTGTTCACAAAAACGTGGGGATATGTAACATCAACCCATGAAGTTTTAGAGGACGGAAAGAACAGGATCTGCATACATTCAAATCAACATCATCAAGGTGCTTTGGCCATCGTTTGTTGGGCAAATGAGGCAAGACTATGATTGACACATGTTGACACTCTCCCAGACATGGCACTAAAATGACATGACTCTACTGCTGACCTCCGTGACACGGCGAGGGAACACAACTCGTGACACGGACACGTCGAGGGTCCAGGAGTAGCCTCTGTTTTTGAACACAAGACCCACAGAGGGCGCGGTGCGAACAGCGCTTTTCAC